TTATATCTTCATCTTCCCCTTTCTTACAGTGTAGTCTTTGCATTTAGAAACCTGAAGTTCTCCATAATAAAAAAACTGTGTTTTGATGGCAAAAGTCACTCACTGTACTTGAATAAATGCGGGATGCCGAAGTGTTTCAACATTGATATTATAAATGTAGAGTTGTGTGCACGCCTTTCGAGAGCAGTGGAGTGAATATGGCAGGGTTAGATACCTGCTTAGGTTACAGATCTGAAAATCTCAAGTTACTCAGCCATAATTGTCAGCTTAACACCACTAGGCTTTTTTATCTGGTGACCACCCTATAATCACAGCTTCCATTTCCTTCTCATGTTTAATTTTCATCAGGAACAACTTCTGAAACATATCTACCATCAGACATCTTTATTATCTTCCAAGCCTACATGATAGGCTATACTTTCAGTTGCCTAGAAACCAATTTAATGGGTAGCTAAACCTAACTTTTTTGTGTGTGTCTGGTCGCTATTGCAAAATATCACAAATTTGTAATATGTTTTGTGATTACTTTAACCTAACATTATTTTCAAATTAGCTGTAAACATGCTGCCAAGATCAATTCTGTATAATTTTTAAATGAACTGCTTGGAGGAAGTATTGTTAGTGAAATACACTTACTGTCTTAGTGTGTTTTCTTCTTTTAATATTATTTAATATTTTGCAACTAGCCCTTTTTCCATTTATGAACAAAACTGAAAATGCCATCCTGTTTGGGGTCATGAATGTGGCAATGGTACAGGCTCCATCATGAATCAGATTCTGAATATTGCATGCTGTTCTTCATTTGGTGGGAAGCATTACTGGTCAAATACCAGGTCGAATTATAAGCATAGCAGTCACAAATTCTATACTCAGTGATACAGTCTGAAGCCTCATTTTGTTAGAAGACAAGAGACATCTCTGATTTTAAATTCTTTGGAGCAGTCACTCTGTCTTCCTAGTAGTGGACATAGCCATTATTCCCTACCTGTCCCTCCTGCCAACTCTTCTTCTCCCCCTGCTGGATGACTGGCAGCTCATCTATCCATGGGTCGGGGTTGGTCCAAGATACTAATATCACAAAAGCAATTTCAAATTTTCTGAATATGGAGCCAGCAGGTGGCATGGTGGTTAAACCAGTGGACTCCCACATGGCTAAATGCAGTTCAAGTCTCGGAACTGGTGACTTACTTTCTCACTTTCACTTTCTCTCTCTGGTCAAATCGAAAAAAAATAATAACAAATAAAATTAAATAAATTGAAAAAAATTATCTGCATATAAATTGTTTTCAGTGCCCTAAAAAAAAAAAACGGAATTTGTGTTTTCAGTGAGTGAAAATCTTATTAATATAATTAGTAAAACTCCTTGGATAAAAAATATTCAGACATTGTGTACCCATTTTCTTATCCATAAATGAGATTTTCATTCTTTTCAGCATTAGAGTTAATGAGTACCCTTCAATTCTCAAAAGTTTCTTTTTTTTAATTAGTATTTATTTTGAATTATCAGACATCTATAGGAAGACATTTTGGACACACTTGAATCACAAAATGTTCGCATATTTCAGACTCTTAAATGAGTATAAAAACTTAGTATTTCTTGAATCTTCTTGCCTATATGAAAAACTATACATGCTTATTAGTACCAGTTATGACGAAATATCTCTGCTGCTAACAAGAGTCTGGTACTTGTGGTGATACAGGTCAAGTGAAAACACATTTGGGAATTGCATAAAGTTGAGACACTTTTTTTCCAGGTCAAGTGTTGACTAAGATAAGACATTAGAATTGTCCATAGTGGGGCCAGCAGGTGGTATGGTGGTTAAGGTGCTGGACTCCCACATAGCTGACCGTGGTTCAAGTCCCAGGCCTGGTGGCTTGAAATTCACACCAGGTACATTTGTATGAATGCCCCAAATCCTGAGAAGAGAATGGAGAAGGGATTACAATGTAGCCATCCCCCATGTAGGGTGATTTCTCACTTTCCCTCTGTCTGTCTTTTTCTGGCAAGTACCTGAGCCCTGTAGCAAAAACCTTAAAAAAAAAAAAAAAAAGAGGGGGAGAGAGAGCGAATTGTTCATGGCACATGGGATTTAATGAGATTTGTTGACCTAGAATATCTTTGACCAATATGTCTTCTGATGTTGATCCCAACTGTATTTTATGTTATGTAAAATCTTGCTGGGTGATAAATATAATAATGTCCTATTCTTGTGTGATGTCATGTATGTGATTAAACAACTACATTATCTTTGTACTTTATCATACCCTTTGAAAGAAGATCATCAGATTCTATTTCACCAGTTCAGTCTCATGTACTTTACCTTCTGTTGTGGTCCAATCTTCCCGTTTACATTCTGGACCATAACATTCAACTCCAGACTTGTCCCTACCATTAAGTTGGCCATTTTCTTAGTTGTTATTAGTTGTTAGTTGAACTCTTATTTCTGTGTGTCTGTATTTATTTTCCTGGTATATCACTCCCTGCACAACTTCTTGGAGAACTGGTCTGGAGTTGCTAAATTATTTCAGGTTTTGTTTATCCAAGAAGGTTTTGTCTTTTCTTCCCATATGAAGGATAATCTTGCCAGGTATAATATTCTAGGTTGAAATGGTTTTTCCCATAGCACTTTGAATATATTTTCTCATTCCTTCCTCACTTGCATTGTTTCCAATAAGAGGTCTGCTCTTAGCTTGATGGGATATCCTTTGTACGTAACTTGACATTTCTCTTTTGCCAATCTTAGTATCTTGTCTTTGTCTGTGGTTTTGGTCAATCTGGCTATAATGTGTCTTGGAGAAGATCTTCTTGGGCTGATTCTATTTGGGGTCCTTTGTATTTCTTGGGACTGGATCTTTGAATGCCTCTCTAGGTTTGGAAAGTTTTTTTCCAGGATTTTATGGAAGAGATTATCAATGCCCTTATGAGTCTCTTCACCTTCTGAGATACCAGTTATCCGAATGTTTGGACATTAATGTTATCTAGTGTTTCTCATATATTATTCTCATTTTTTGGGCTATTTTCTCAGTCTTCTTGGTGGATTTTTCTAGGCCAGTGATTATGTCTACTACATCTGAGATTCAGTCCTCTGTATGATCTAGTCTACTTTTAATACTTTCAGAGGGAGGTTTTGATTTCTGTATTACAGCCTTCATCTCTAACAGCTCCATTTGATTCTTTTTTTTATGGTGTGTATTTCCTTTTTCAGATCATGCAAGAACTTCCTCACCTCCTGGAAATCATCAGCTCTTTTCTCCTGTGTCTTCTTATGACTTTTGACTAAAACATTCTTGATTTTCTTCTATGCTTTGTTTTCCAGATTTAAGGATTTTTGTCTTGTCTTGAGTTGCCAATAGGTTCATCCACCTACTATTTGAATAGAACCCTAACCTGTTTCCTGGCTTTAAGTTTTAAGCAAAAATATTTTAGCATTTTTAAAAATTTTTATTTATTAAAGCTAAAACTGCTTTTCTTGAAATTATAAAATATATTTAAAGAATACCTATTTAATGACCATAGTAAGCTATATAGCATCAGCTGGGTGCTACTTTATAGTATATTCATTCTACTCAGAGCTTCATCCCTAAAGTCAGACATGTATTCACAGATATGTATATATCAGCTGAACTTGCTATTACAAGTAGTTAGATGAATTAAAATATTTTGTGGGGAACCAGCAGTTAGCGTAATGGCTATGTCGCTGGACTCCCACGTAGTCGACCGCGGTTCACGTCCCAGACCCGGTGGCTTAAAACTCACGCCGGGCGCGTGTGCGTGCGTGCCCAAGATCCCGAGAGGAGAATGGAGGAGAAGGGATTGCGGCGTGACCATCCCCCCTGGGGGGTGATTTCTCGCTTTCTGTCTCTATGTCTCTCTCTGTCTGTCTGGCGAGCGCACGCGCCCTACAGTGAAAATCTCTCCAAAAAAAAAAAAAAAATTTTGTGAATCAGTAAAATGGGGGGGAAGGAATGTAGACACCAGAGACAGGTGGGAGGAAGGTGGGAAATGGCAGAAGGTGAGAAATATATGATGAGAAATAGAAAATTATTTGTCGATGATAACATGGATGATTAAGCCACTATGCAGTATTCTGGATGGGAAAGCACATTTTATGCTGTGATACTGCTCAGCGAATGAATGTAAAATAAATTAATATTTAAAAAAAGAAAAAAGAAAGGTCATCAGTACTTCTGTAAGTCTTAACAGTTCGATATTTATTCAGTAAGGAGTTGGTAATGGGTTCATCGGTATCCTAGCCAATACAGTACAAGTGATTTGTGACTGGTTATTAACTGAACAGGTTTTTAAGAGAGCAGACATACCACCCCACCCTGCTGTAAAGTCTTGATTTTTCTCTCCCAGGAAATTCAAGACTAGGAGAAACTTGGGAGACTTTAAGTGTGTTAATTTATGTCAATTTGTATATGCATACACATATATTCCGTTTCTGTCTGATTTCCTAGAAAACCCAGATCTTATAAAGACATACTAGAAATTTAAGAGAGAAAGAAAGATTATTTAATTTAGATTGTTGTAGTTGTTGTGTTATGTCCTTAATGGTCAAAATAATTAAGTCCTGAGGAGTTGATACAGTACATTGTAGATTGCACCAGTACAAATAAGTCAGCAACTGAGATAGTAAAATCTGGGCTAGAGTTATTTTGGCTAAATTGATTCTTTTCGGTGTCCACAGTATATTTAGCCCTGTGCTATAGAGCATATAATCCTTTCTGAGACTTCACGAGACCTCCCATATTGTGAAGTGTGTGGGTAGAATGGTGGCTATGAGCCAGTCCTTCACACCTAAAGAAGACACCCCAGGTCACAACGTATATCTCATGTTCTGACAACAGATGTGGATGAGATTCTAGAGTCTTTGGCAGCATAATACCTATAAATTCTCCTTGAAATCACCCCACTTCGTCACTCAAAATTTTGGTTGGTATGAGAAAAGTTTTGATAGAATTAATAACATATTTATCTTTATTTTTTTCTCCTTAAGATCAAAAAATATTTTGAACTTGAACCACTTGCTCGTGGGAAGCGCTGGATTCTGCAGCCCTGCTCGCTGGATGACATGGACGCACTGAAAGACAGCTTCTCACAGCTGATAAATTTGTTAGAAGAAAAAGACCATGAAGCTATAAGAATGTGAAATCTGGCCAAGAAATTGGGTTCCCCAAAGGCCTTGAACCTATCATGTTAGTTTCTCATTTTAATTTTATTTTGCTATCAAGACTATAAGGCATCAGTATCTATTTTCTCTAGTTATTTCAGACTCACATCTCTGTATTAAAATGAATATTCTGCACATCAGGTGAATTATCATCGGCATTAACGTCAAGTACACACTACTGAGAGAGAATGTATTCTCTGTTTACCACTAATTACCTTCACCGCATGTCTCTTCCTTCTGTTGTTCTAAGCATCTTTTCTATACTCTGTGCTAAATTGGATGGAATTCATGGCTCACAAAAATCAAATCCTTTATGAAGAACTCAAAAAGACTCACAATACCTGACTAATTTTCCTGAGTTTGAGATATATTGGGATATATATCCCAATCACTTTCAAGATCTTTAGGATTTTTATTTTAGTGGACTTTTTTCCAGTGTTTTTTTTTTTGGGTTTTTTTTTTTTTTTTTTTTTTTTTTTTTTTTATGCTGACTTTGCAGACTATGAGAGAAAAATTAGTAAAAACTTCAGTTAATCACCTTATCGGAAATAAGTATGGTAGGAATATTTTACCATATTAAGATTAGCTTTGAAGAACCTTTAAGGCAAAACATATAAAGCTTCCCTGATTACACTGGAAAAGTCTTACCCCTGCCTTGTTTTAAGATCAAATATATTTTATTTTTTGCGAGGAGTTAGAAGAAAGTTAGGCACAGTGCATGCATTCCTGATTACATTTGATCAAGTCTTCAAATATATTTTTAATGGAAAAATTAGCCTACATCAAGTCAAGCTGCAACATGATATAAGTACCTTTTTCTAAATATCTGAGATGTTTGGTTGAAATAGAGAAAATAATTTTTAAAATAAATGATAAAAAAATTTTTGAAGCAACCTAACTTTAAAAACTTTATCAAGTATAGTTTATACTGGTTACCATGTAAGCTGGCGTGGAGGTGACAAAGATGTCAAAGACAGTGTATTGGTTATTCATTCATTAAGTGTTACTGTCGTCTAATGGAGTCTGTTAGTACCTCCATCTAGTAGTTAAAGGTCTATCAGTATTTCTATTATGAACCTCTATTTTCAGGGGTTTCAATGTGCCCTTAAAAATGTGCTGGTGCTTCAGCAAACAATTTTAGGGCTTATATTCAGTCTTTGGAACTAGTTTTGTTTGTTTGTTTGTTTGTTTTTTCATTTAATTTAAATGATAAAATTGCATGAGATAAATGTACAGTTTTACCAAGGTTCAGCACATTTGATCTTTTCTAAATCAGGACTACTCTATGAATATTAGGATCATAGGTGAAATATTCTTTGGCACATTTTATAGATTTTTTGATCTTTTAAATTATAAGTAACAAAATGATAGAAAAATGTTCCCTACAGCTGAATGAAAACTTATTTGTCATTTTTAGATAGCATAGACTGATACCCAGAAATACTACAAATTTACACCATGTTACAGGATGATATAATACCTTGTAATTCTTCAGAAGATATACTTCAGACTCTTAATGGTATTCAAGTACAGTTTTTGTGGCTTAATCTTATAAGTGCATTTTAATGAAATCATTACTTTCGAAACATCAAATGCATCTTTAAGCTTTTTTTTTTTTTTGCATGGATCAGGAAAGATCCAGAGTGATTCGTATTCAGTTTTATCTACACTATCCTTGAATGTTTTCCACACCATGTAATCCATGCGCAGCATAAAACTTACATTCTGATGACCAGTTACACAATTTCTGATTTTACTTTGTCCTGTTGTGCTCATCTTTCATGAAAAATAAATGATTATTAGGTCTGGCTTTCCCGGCAAGTTCATTAAATGTAGAATGTTGTCTTTTTAAGATACTGTGTCTGCGTGCTCCTACACCATCTGTTAAATGACTTCCCGTTGTCTGTGTGTGTGTTCGTGTGTGCGCCAGTGATGGGCTTCTCCTCAGACCCACGACTGTCTGCAGCATCTCAGCCGTCAGAATGAAAACATTATCAATCAGTACCCAACAACAGCTGTTTTTGACAAGTTTCTGTCTGACGCCTAATGCTTTACAACTGTCAGTAAGGCTCCTTCTTTGTCTAGCGGGTTGGAGCTCACCGTCTCGCTGCTGCTTCCGTGCGGCATCCTGTCCTTGTAACCCTAGAATTTGCCATGTTGTGGAAACCCACATGGGGGGAGGGTGGGGCTTGGACGGGGGAGGGGGGCTGGGGGTGTATGTCATATTCCTACTTTGGTGTAAAGTGCCACAGGTGTCTTAGTTTGCATATTCAAATATTATATAGGAAAAACAGTCTGTTCTGTATTTCTTCACTTCGCTTCTTGTTATATTTATGGAGGCTACCAGTTTTTGTATCTTCTTAGCTACAACAGTTGCCTTTTGTAATGGCAATTAATTTATATGATAAAACTTTGTATCTACTGTAGTTTACAGTATTGGTTGCTAATTAACTGCCACATTGCCCTGTCTTTCTATTAAAAACATTGTATCTATACTTGGAGATGAACAGATTCATGTGGACTTTTGTCAGGCAAGAATTGTTATTGTCCATTTATATATGATTTCCACTATCTTCAAATGAAAATAAACGCTGAGTAGAATTGATGTTTTCAGACTGACTGCTTTCAGCCCCAGCATTTGGGAGTCCCAGATTTTTGTTTACATGTGTGTTGCCTGTATTTAAGCCTCCAAAACAAGTTCTACTGCTCTTGGGTCAAAACAAATGATTAATTCGCATTTTCTTTGAAGCCATTGTGAAAACCTTAAAAGAAAAGAAAAAAAAGTGTTTTTTCTAGTCGTTTGTCTAAAGCAGCAATTTCCTTTCTTAGAGTGTTCCTTTGGAGTGTGTGAACAGATTCAAGATGTTAATATAAAGTGGCATTCTTCAATCAAAGGGTTATCTTACAATATTTGCTGTAAATTCAGCTCTCTAAGAATGGTGCAGTTTGTTGCATGGAACTATTTCCTTCAATGGTGATTGATGCTTTTAGGAAATAAGGAGAATTTCAAATGACTCAAGAGGAAATACTGTGCATTTGCAGGTCCATTACTCAGGATGAGAGTGTAAAAGAGAGAAAGACAAATAATAGATGGATGGAAGAAGAGAGAGAGAAAAGACATACTAGAAGAGGAAAGATTCAAATCCTAGCTCTTATTTGGTCCTAAATGCATCAGTATCTTGACACTTGTTATTTGACTACCCAGAGAGCTTGCAACACCTCTAAGCTGGGATCCAGCCTGCATTCCTAGTCTGGTTTCCAAGGTAGGCAATTAGCAGTTATCCACTTCTTAAGCATCTCAGGTCTCTCCTAGCGAATATGAACAGAACAGTTAACTTTATAGCAAATGGAGTTTTCTCCATGTCCAGATTACATATTCAGACTTAAATGGAAATCTAATATTTGTGCCTGGCTTCATCGTCTGCATCATTTTAAAGAACATTTTCATTAACCTCCTGACCTAATGGTATAGACAGAAGTAAGAGGTTATGTGTGGGGTGGTGGGGCTGGAAGTGAGAATTGCCCTTTGGGGTCCCTCATTTTCACTGTGTTTGGAAAGGATGGCCTGTCTTGTACAAAAACTGTAGAATGTAGACTCCCCCACCTCCCTGGCCCCCCACCCCCAGCCTGAGGGCCAGAGCACTGAGGTTCATACTGTGAAATGTGTTACCACGTCCTGCTGGGAATTCCTGGCTCCAGCGGGTTCACAGCTTTTGGTCACCACTGAGCCAGCATGATTAAATGATTTGCATCTCAGGGTTAAATGTGTCCTAACCTAGATGCACCAAGTGACTGATGAGCCAAGCTTTGGCACCCTACCCTACCCCCTCACACTAATTTAGGGACATGAAAAGGATCCCTTGTAAGATTCTGAGGCCTCAGATGGGATATCAACCCCCTCATGCACACCCTCCCCTATTCTTTTTGAATTAAAACTTTAAAATGAAATGCTTTGCTTCCATTCACTGCTTCGTTGGATCTGGAAATTCTGGCTTCCCTTACTGAGAGTTCATCTCTGTGACAACTTCTTCATGTTGTGACTTAATAGTGACACCAAGACAAAGAGGTTTAAAGTCACAAAGAAGAATCTCTCCAACATATGCCTTCTCTGGCATCTTCCTTTTCTTACAAACCTGTAGCATTATGTTATAAATCCCAGATATACTCGATAATTTTTTTTAAAGAAAGAATGAAGTAAGAAGTTAATGATTCTTCTGTCAGACCTTTCTCACATTGCATTTCATCTCTCTCCATGAAGCGTGCCACTTTCCCTGAGCCCTGGTTTAGCAAGGCCACCTGCACTGTTCTTGGGCATAGCTGCCCCTTCCCGCTCACACTCTGCTCCTCAAGTCCTGACATCATAGGGCCTTCTATACAAGTAACCACTTTCTACAGGGGAGTGTGTGGTTACTTCCCTGGGGGTGTTTTCAAAGCAAGGTCACTTACCGTAGATAGATACTGTGCGAGGTCACTAGTGCCCTGCTTAGAGGACAAGGAAAGGGACGACTAGATGCAATGGTTTGTCAGGCTCAGCCGGGTTGATGACCCAGTCCAACTCCTCTAGCTTGGCGTGGACCACCATGGGTACAGCCATCAAACTGTACTTGGAAAAGTGATCGGTAGGCTACTCAATAATGGTGAACTCTTTTCCTTTCATCTCTTTTTCAAAAATCTCTTTACTTTATTCTTAGGCTCTCAGAATATTCCATACTAATATTTTAGACTGGGTCTTTTTAGCAACCCTATTCCAGCTCTCAGGGGTGAGTTGGCAGAGAACAAGACCTGGCTCAAGCCCACAATGACAAGTCAAAATAAATCTTCACTAAACGTCAGTTCCCTAGTCACCTTCGTGGCTGTTTCCTTGTGTGATATGGAGAGGGGGGAGCTGGCCTTTCCAAAAAGTCTAAGCTCAGTCACATCACAGACAGACCTTTCAAAAGGTGTGAAATGCAGCCTAGAATACCCCAGCTTTCACTGACAAGTGATTCATTGAGACAAAGGCTGGAGCTCCAGCATCAAACCAGATGTCAGACAAAACACCAAACGCCTATAAATGATTGCTCTGCAAGCAGTGGAATGACTAGAAGACCTGGTCTAATGATGTGTCCATGTCTGGACAAGCTTACAGAGGACAAGGGGTGGGGAGGAGGGATGGTTTTAAACAGAGTCTATAAAGAAGGCTATTTCTGGAAAGAAGTAAAACCACGATTCTTACCTGAGAGGCTCATGTTGAGATGAATTATTTCTGGCCACTTCGTGTATAATATATTTAAAGGTCAATCAGAAAAATGCTTGTCAAGGGCACCCTGAAGGTCTGACCAGTATGATATGATATTAAATGATATTAAATCATTACACTTATAAATATCAGAGTAAACTAAAAATGAGATTTTGCTGGAACGGAAACTACTCAGAGACAGGAATGCAAACAGTAAGTCTGGCTGTCATTTGCTATAATCTGGAGCAAGTCAGGTTTGGCTCTGGACCTTCTCCAGTTGTTTTACAACTTTCTAGACATGGGGTGTTTCAACCCAGCCACTTATATTAAGCCGCTTCCATGGGATTTTTGAAATGACAGCTTGTCAAGACTCAACTCACCATTGCCCTTTTACAGGTTTTATTTCACAATTAGACCTTTGGGGTTTAATCATTTTAGGGCTTTAGTTTATTCAGTCAACACATTTTTGTTGAACACCTGCCATATTCCAGGAATAGAGTTAGGTGGTAGGAATATAGCACCTAATTAGTCTCTAATTCTGAGACTTTAATCCCCATAACATTGGTTAAGTTTATTTCTTTTTAAAAAATATTTAATTTTGTTATTATTTAATTTGATGGGAGAAGGAGAGAGAAAAAGTGAGAGAGCAAGCCACCAGGTCCAAGACTTGAATTGTGGTTGGCCATGTGGGAGCCCAACACCTTAATCACCACACCACCTACCAGCTCCTGGTTAAGTTTATTTCTATGATCCTAGAGATTTGGGGGGGAAGGGGTGGGCATTTGGTTACATGAAGATTGCAGTTTCAGTCTAGGTTTTTAAATACTTGTTCTTGGCTCTAATTGCTGGTTTTCAGCCCTCTTAATTTAGAATTGTTTTTGAATGCTGTTTAGTTTCTTTTGAGATCATTAATAAAAGACTTTAAACACATATGGAGATGCCTCTTTCTTAGCATCTTTCTAAATAGAACTCTGTAAAGCTAGCACCTTGTATTCTGCAGTTTTACTGCTGCAGCAATGAAGCATGTGTCTAGCGCACAGAAGTGTTTCCAAAGTGCAAAACCAGCTCTGTTAATTACCTACTATTCTGTCATCCTCTCTCTACTAGAAGGTCTTACC